GTGTGTGTGTGTGTGTGTGTGTGTGTTATTCCCAGTGAAAATAAATGATTAAGTATCAGTTTAGACGTGGGCTGCGGGGCTGCTCCACCCTGTCAGTGGTGCACGGGTACTCCCACCGTACAGAGGGGCCCTGTGCTTGACTACATTGTACACATGCCATCGTAATCATTTTAGTTTATGCTTTTCTTCCAGAAAACCTTTCCCAGTCATGAAAAGAAGGCCCTTGATGCAAAGGCACTTAATCTAAAACGACAGGAATCGTTATTGTTAACATTAAGCACGGCTTTGTTGGAAGTTACCCACCGAAACCCCAAATCTATCTCGGTGGCATGCACCCCAAGTCCGCTTGGGCGCGGTCCGTGGCTGGGGTGCTATGAGCCACCTAGCTGAATGAGCTCGGAGAGAGCCCAGTGGCTCCCACACCAGGGCTGAGCTGGAGAAGCGAGGCGGGACCGTCATTGTTTTCGGAGGCCAGAGAAGAAGCTCGTCCGCGCGGTTTTCAGGCGACACGTCTCCTAGCCCCCGCCTCTGGGCGTTGGGATGGGTCTCCTGCGGTGCGATAGTCCTTTTTCCTACCAGGGGGGACACTTGGAACACACCCACAGTCATCTTTGCGCGTCCCCCTAGAGCCGGTTCGGCGCACAGCGCACCCCAGCGGCCTCACCCCACGGCTGCTACCAGCCGTGGCCACTGAGCTTCCGGAGAGCTTGCCAGTCACCACCGCGGCCGCCTCGGAATCCGGGGACTGGCGACACTGCCACCGCCGGCCTCCGCGCGACCCCGCGGAGGGCGCGGCCGCCACACCTGGGAGCCCTGTGGACCTGGAGCGGCGGGGCGCGCCGGGAGCCTGGCCCACTGCCCGAACCGCTCCGCCGAGAGCGGCCGGCCGCGGCTGGGCGAAGGGGGAGGGTCCCGCGGCAGAGCTCGGCCCCTCCCAGGGAAAGACCCCAGCTGCGGCCGATAAGAGCCCCGGCCGGCGGCGGAGAGCGTGGAGAGGGTCATGGAGCGGGCGGGCCCCGGCTCCGCGCGGCCGCTGCAGCAGCGGGACCAGGACGCGGTGGAAGCTTGGCTGGACGATCACTGGGACTTCACCTTCTCTTACTTTGTTAGGAAAGCCACCAGGTAAGAGGTGCACGGCGAAAGACCTGGCCGGGACTCGGAGCGTGTCCTGGGGCGGACCTCTGTTCCTTGTTGCAGTTCCCCCTGGGTTCACTGTGGAACAGCGTCCGTCCCCGGGCCGTTTGCTTTGTCCAGGTCTTTGGTCCAGTTACGGTGTAGAGATCTCGACTCCGAGGCGACTAGAGTCGACAAACCCAAGCGTCGGATTCGATTCAACTTGCTCACGAAGTTCAATACGAAAATGTACGTGCCGACCCCCACACTCCCCCAGCCGCCCTGGTATTCCCTGGGAGCAAGATTATTTTCGGACATCTGCGCTCCCGGGCCTTCCTCTCGTTCTCCTCCAGTCTCTCCAGTTGCCCCCAAACTCCTTAGCGAAACCAAAACAGTGTGGAGCCCCTTCCCTGCAGCTCCGGAAGCACCAAGTCCAGCTCGGTCCCAGAGGCTGCGCTCCTCCCCCGTCCCCCCTCGTCCCGGCCCGGGCTGGGCGGGGAAGCCGGGGAAGGGGCGAGACCTCGAGGAAGCCCCGAGGCAGCAACATGCCGGAACCTTCCCAGAGTGAGTGCTGTCGCCTTTTACCCCCTCCAGTCCCCCGATTGTCCCGCGCGCCTCGTTTAACTGGCTCCTGCGCACCAGGCGGCGCCTCTGGAAGGGCTTCGCCGCGGGGTTCGCGGCGAGCTCACCAAGGGCGCGGGGACGGCGCGGAGGGGAGCGACTCCGAGGGGTGGCGGGTCCCCAGCGGCCCGAGCCGACCCCAGAGGCCAGTTCTTCCTGGTCCGGAGCCAAGCACCCGGGCGGGCGCGGCGTTGGGCGGGGAGGAGAGAGCCTGGCCTTTGGGAGGCGACTGCGCGTCGGCAATTCGGGCGCGCGTGGGAACCGCTAGCCAAAGCGTAGGGGAGGAACTGAGGCTGAAGCCCAGGGGCGCGGAGGGTGGCGGGAGAGTGCGTGTCCCGCGGGCTGCCTCAAGCCCGAGCTGGTGCGGAGCCCGGCGCGGAGCGGGCTGCTGCGCGCATCTCTGGCTTCTCTGGGACTCACCCCTTTGGGGAAGGGGCCAGGGCCGGCCG